AATGAATAGCTAGCAAGAATAAATTTGAGAAAGATCTTTAAATTCTGGGTATTTTATTTTAATTTGGGGATTTTAGGTAGTACCAAGTTACAGCAACAATTCTTATGGGAAAGATTTTAAGTTCCAGAAGGCAGAGAGGAAGTACTTTTAGCATCATGGCCTCAGGGAAAATGGCAAAGATGTTGAAGAGGCAATGGCGTAAAATGGGGGGGACATAGAATTTAGAGTGAGAATTAGAAGACCACTGATGCTATTTATTAACTGCTTATCCTTAGGCAATTTAGTTAGTTTCTTTGAGACTCAGCTTTCTTTAATTTCAGGATGGGCTAACTAAATCTTATCAAGCTCACAGGATTGATGTGAGGTCCAATGAGATAACATGTAACATCAGTTCCATTCATCTTTAGTGTTTCCTCCATATTTCCAGTTCAACCTTCAACTCTTCTGGTGATTACTCTGTTATTCTCCCTTCTTATCTTGCAGAAAGAAAAGTAGGCGATTAAATCACACACACAAGGAAAAAGGGACTGGTCATAGATTTTGGGCATCTTCCCTCAAATACATTTGCATTTTAAAATATTTTGCCAAAATCAGGTAAGTCCATAGTGGTAGATTCCTCAAATTCTAACAGGAAACGGAACATTTACCCTGGGACAAGCATGTGCCTCAAATCATACCACAAAAGGAGTCATGAACTCAAAAGCATTGATTGCTCTACCTTCTAGTGAAAACAGTCATTTCAATTTTCATTTATTTTTATATAAAAACAATACTACAAAGTGGGTTTTTTTTAAAAAAAAAATCCATAATGTAGTAGTCCAGGACTCAGCAAATATTTTCTGTTCAGGGCTATACGTAAATACTTGAGGCTTTGTGGGCTATGGGATCTGGGTCACAACTGCTCAGCTAAGCATTATAGCCCCAAAGCAGTCATAGATAATATGTAAATGATGGACATGGCTATGCTCCTTAAAAGGTTTATTTATAAAAATAGGCTATGAGGCAGATTTGGCCCACAGGTCATAGTGTTCTGACACCTTATACCATTCCACCCACTCCTCCATCCTTTCTTCCTCCCTATCCCCTCCCCCGCCATACCCGGTCACACACAAAATAGAAAGTTTTAGAGAAGAAGATATATTGAGCACCATAACTTTATATTTAGTTCTCAGTTTGTATTTGGCCCCAAGTAGTGCGCAAAATTTTCTTTGCCTGTCCTCCCTGTGCTCATCCCCTAAGGCAAGCATCATGCCCATGAGCTTTCCAACAACCAACTAAAATAATGATCAGGGAAAAACCAAACAAATATTTTACTCTAATTCTGTTTAGTGGAAAGCTCAGGATCTTAGATGCAAGGGTGGGAAGAACTTGCAAACCATGCTTGGAAATTTAGTAGTTTCATTCTTTCTCTGGCTAAAATTAAGATCTCTATGAATATGTGCTTCCTGGGCATTTGAATCCTCAAAATTCAGTGCACCAGTGCTTCCTGAAAACTGACCACCTGCAGAACTGTATGTGAATGCAAAAGTAGAGACACATTCCCTCAAGGATCCAACAGCCTCATTGGGGAAGCAGAACACATTCACATAAGAAAAATACTAAACAATACTTACAAAGCCATATGTCAGAGAAATACATCTTTATAAAGTAGAAGCTGACAGCATCAGTGCTTAGAGGAGACACTATAGAGGAATGATCAGAGTTAGGTAAGAGATTCTAGAGGAAGCAAGGGGGAATGACATTTCTTCCCTCCCCCAATTCTTCCCAAAACAGGAGAAGAAAAAAATCTTTCAGGAGAAATAAATGCCAATTACCTTTGCTTAAGTCCAATGGCAGTAAAAACCCTGAACTACTGAAAAAGAGGGGCAATATTGGGATTAATACTAATGTCTTACATACAAACAGGTTTATTTCAAATTTCATATGTATTCAGTTGGATCAAAAAATTGATTGGCTGGCCCACACACAAAACCTGTTTAAGCCCCAAATCCCACACATCCCATTTGTTGACATTCTGTGTGCATTGCAACATCTACATGAGATTATGAAATTCTAGAAATTATATTTGGACTATAACTTGAAACTTTCCCTCTGGAGTATATATTATTAATGTTATATTGAGTTTAATGGGTATAAACACAAAATTTTTATGAATAAACTTTGAATAAAAATATATTGAGAGATGTGTGTATTCTATGAAGTTTGGATATTAAAACTGCATATTCTATTGGCTTGCCTTTTATAATTAAGAATAATCATTTTTTAGTGATGTAAGAGGAATGGCGGCATGAGAGATCCACTTGGCTTCTTCCCCTGAAATTTCAACAAGTTAACCAACTATAACTCAACAAAGAATTCCCTACTCAATACAGAGGCACACCAGAGAGACCTGCAGTTGCAGCCCTGCATCTAGGAACTTGTGGCTCAGCTTAGAGAGGGGAAGAAGCCAGCAGTAGCAGGTGCTTCCTTCAGCCAGGAGAAACAGAGAGCAGTGGGGAGCAGTCCAGTAGGGTGAACGGAGTGAACAGTGACTGAGCCAGAAGACACCTGACAGAGCACAGGTTTCTCCCCTGTAGCTCTCCACTGTCAGGCCAGGCGGTGGTATCTCAGACAAAGAAACGGAACCACAGAGCCCTGTGGTGACAATGACTCCCAAAACTTGCTGCCCATTGCCACTGGTGTCAGGATGAAGAACAAATTATCTGCAAACCAAGAGTTACTGCAGTAGAAATGCTGTTTCCATCTGTGACTGAACCCCAAGTGGAGTGCTTGGGATTGGAACCCACTGAGGTCAGGGGTTGCCATTACAGTGAGGGCAAAGCAAACCCCACCTCCAAGCACTGAGACTGTACTGTCTTAAGGAAGCAATGGAGGTCAAGTCTGGGAGATCACAGAGGTAAAAACCACGCAATTCAGTGCCATCACCTGGAAAATAGTAGCAAGACCTCTTCAGAGAAAGCTGCTATAGAAGTCCATTAATATAGACAGATATACATGCAGAGGCATAGGAGAACAGCAAATACCATGAATAACCATGGTAATGAGGATGATCAGAATGAAAGAAAAATCCCCAGAAAGCAAGCTGGAACACACGGAAATATGTGATATAAATGACATGTTTCAAGGGTGTAGTTCGAGAAACTATAGACAGGCAATTCAATACACTCAGAAAACAAATGAATAAACAAAATGAGCACTTTGTCAAAGAGAATAAAACTTTAAAAAAGATCCAATCAGGCCCTGACTGGTTTGGCTCAGTGGATAGAGCATTGGCCTGTGGACTGAAGGGTCCCAGGTTCGATTCCGGTCAAGGGCATGTACCTTGGTTGCAGGCACATCCCTAGTAGGGGGTGTGTAGGAGGTAGCTGATCGATATTTCTCTCTCATTGATGTTTCTAACTCTCTATCCTTCTCCCTTCCTCTCTGTAAAAAACCAATAAAATATATATATTTTAAAAAGACTCAATCAGAAATTCTGTAAATGAAGCATGCAATTAAGAGGATTATGAGTAAACTACTGAAAAAGAAATTCGGGAGAAAATGGCGGCCCAATAGGCAGACCTAGCGTGCATCTGGTCCCAGGGCCAGACTGGAAATACAACTAAATTGGAAAACATTCACCTGGAATTACCAACTGAGGTCCAGCGGAAGAGGAGACATATCAAAGAAGGACAGAAAACACCTGCAGACAGTTAGGAAGGGTGAGGTCAGGAGAGGAGCTGACCCAGCTTCTAGGTTCGGCAGGTCAGAAGTCCAAGAGTGAGGGAGGAGCTCCTGGCTACAGGAGGGTCTGTTCCCTCAGAAGATAGAGGCCTGAAACCCAGGCTGGGCTCCACAGCCTGGAACACCAGAGCCAAGAACAACAGCCCACGTAGCATACAGTTGTGAAAGATGACAGGACTGCTGGCTGCAGCGGAGTCTGGAACCAGTAGACTGGAGCCAGTCAGAGAGAAAGCCATAGTTTTGTTTTGTTTTATTATAAAGGCAGTGTTTATTAGAATACATGTTATTTCCAAAATTGAGTTTTCAGCTGTTATGGTGTGTATACCTTATTTTTTAAATTTATCTTTATTGTTGCAAGTATTGCAGATGTCCCCTTTGTATTGTTTTTTTGTTTGTTTTTCCCCCATTGACCCGCTCCATCCTGCACCCGCACCTCCCAAGCTTTCTGTCTGTGCCCATGGGCTATACATATATGCATATAAGTTCCCCAGGTAATCTCTCCCCTCCCTGTGTCTTCCCTCTGAAATACGTCAGTCTGTTCCATGGTTCTATCTTTCTGGATCTATTTTGTTCATCAGTTTATTTTGTTCATTAGATTCCACATATGAGTGAGATCACGTGATACTTGTCTTTCTCTGACTGGCTTATTTTACTTAGCACAATACTCTCCAGGTCCATCCATGCTGTTGCAAATGGTAAGAGTTCCTTCTTTTTTACCAGCACATAGTTTTTCATTGTGTAAATGTACCATGGGTTTTTTTTTATCCACTCACCTGCTGATGGGCACTTAGCCTGTTTCCAAATCTTAGCTATTGTAAATTGTGCTGCTATGAACATAGGGGTGCATATATCTTTTCTGGTTGGTGTTTCTGGTTTCTTAGGAGATATTCCTAGAAGTGCGATCACTGAGTCAAATAGGAGTTCCATTTTTAATTTTTTGAGGAAACTCCATACTGTTTTCCACAGTGGCTGCACCAGTCTGCATTCCCACCAGCAGGGTACTAGGGTTCCATTTTATCCATATCCTCGCCAACACTTGTTGTTTGTTAATTTTTTTATGATAGCCATTCTGACAGGTGTGAGGTGATAGCTCATTGTTGTTTCAATTTGAATCTCTTGGATGATTAGTGACTTTGAGCATTTTTTCATCTGTCTCTTGGCTTCTGTATATTCACTTGGGAGAAATGTCTGTTTAGGTCCTTTGCCCATTTTTAAAAATTGAATTGTCTTCCTTTTGTTAAGTTGTATGAGTTCCAGATATATATATATATATATATATATATATATATATGTATGTGTGTGTGTGTGTTATGCTTCATGGGTCATGCTAATCTTCTCTGTATCATTCCAATTTTAGTATACGTGCTGCCAAAGCAAGCACCTCATATATTTTTTAAGGTAACCCCTTATCAGATGTATCATTGGCAAATATGTTCTCCCATTCATTGGGCTCTCTTTTCACTTTGTTGATGGTTTCCTTTGCTGTGCAGAAGCTTTTTAGTTTGATGGAGTCCCATTTGTTTATTTTCTCCTTTGTTTCCTTTGCCCAGGAGATATATCAGTAAACATTTTGCTATAAGATATGTTTGAGATTTTGTTGCCTGTGGCTTCTTCTGAGATTTTTATGGTTTCACGACTTACATTTGGGTCTTTTGTCCATTTTGAGTTTATTCTTTTGTATGGTGTAAGTTGGTGGTCCAGTTTCATTCTTGTGCATGTACCTGTCCAGTTTTCCCAGCACCATTTATTGAAGAGACTGTATTTACTCCATTGTATGCTTTTGCATCCTTTGTCAAATATTAATTGAGCATAATGACTTGGGTCGATTTCTGGGGTCTCCATTCTGTTTCATTGATCTGTATGTTCTTGTGCCTGTACTTAGGCTGTTTTGATTACAGTGGCTTTGTAGTATAACTTGATATCTGGTATTGTGATTCCTCCAACTTTGTTCCTCTTTATCAAGATTGCTGCCTCTATTTGGGGTCTTTTTTTGGTTCCATATAAATTTTTTGAGTGTTTGTTCTAGATCTGTGAAATATGCCATTGGTGTTTTAATAGAGATTGCATTGAATCTATAGATTGCTTTGACTAGTATGGACATTAAAATTATGTTGATTCTACCAATCCATGAACATGGTATATTCTTCCACTTGTTAATACCTTCCTCTATTTCTTTATTCAGTGACCTGGAGTTTTCTGAGTACAGGTCTTTTACCTCCTTGGTTATGGTTATTCCTAAGTATCTTAATTTTTTTGTTGTTGCAATGGTAAATGGGATTGTGTTTCTAGTTTCTATTTCTGAGAGTTCGTTATTAGTATATAAAAATGCCAGGGACTTCTGGGTGTGAATTTTATATCCTACTACATTGCCAAATTCATTTATTAAATCTAGTAGTTTTTTGGGGAAGTGTTTAGGGTTTTCCATGTTCAATATCATGTCATCTGTGAATAATGATAGTTTTACTTCCTCCTTCCCAATTTAGATGCCTTTTATGTTTTCTTCTTGTCTGATCCCTATGACTAGGACTTCCAGTACTATGTTGAATAAGAGTTCATGCCTCCTGTGACTCTCATATTAAATTTGTGCGATCACCATTAGGGACAAAAGAAATAGCAACCACAAAACAAAGTACAGGGGTGGGCAAAAGGAGGTTTACAGTTGTTTATATGGAATAAAATACATGCAGATTATTATTTTAATAATAAAAAAAGAAATTCTGTGTTTCACATACTCACAACTGTAAACCTACTTTTGCCTACCACAGTATGTATAGTGGCTGCAATCTGTATATTTAAAACAGAAAGCCCTTGCTTTCATCTGACCTTTGAAAAGCTACAAACCAGCATCTCTCTGCAATTAATTAGCCTGCTAAATGGTGTTGAGCTATGATGTGCTATGATTACTATAAACTCAAATATATTTTTCCATAATATTTCAAAAAAATTACATAGTTTTCAGAAACCACAAAAGTTTGGTTACTACAAATTTAGACTCTTAGGTGAAGCCCACTGGTCATTTCATAATGCCCTTCCATACATCTGTCCCTCTATACACGGGATTTTTAATACTATCTCCATAAAATAACCTTAAATAATATAAAGCAAGTCAGAAATTTGTCTTGAAATAACTGATGACTCATCTCTTGAAGCTTTGCAAGGACATATTTATACTTGGCACATACTATAAATAACAGCTGGTAATTTTACCACAACCATTTTTCACTCATTTCTAGTTTTTCCACATTTATTCTTCATCTCATATTCAGTCTCATTTAAACTCAATTGCCAATTTAGAGTTTGCACTGGATTGTGCCTATTGACTTGTTCTGCTTTTTTTTTGAAATATATTTTCATTGATTTCAGAGAGGAAGGGAGAGGGAGAGAGTAATAGAAACATCAATGATGAGAGAGAATCATTGATCAACTGCCTCCCGCATGCCCCACACTGGTGGGGACCTATAAAACTTTTTAAATAACATGTTAGAAAGAAGATTTAAAGTGCAGAACAGCCCGACAGGCATGGCTCAGTGTATGAGTATCGACTTAAAAACTAGGATGTCACAGTTCAATTCCCAGTCAGGGCACATTCCCGGGTTGCAGGCTTGATCCCCAGTACGAAGTAGGAGGTAGTCAATCAATGATTCTCTCTCATTACTGATGTTTATGTCTCTCGTTTCCTCTCTGAAATCAATCAAAATATTTTTAAAAGTTATATACGGCTACTTCCATAAAATTAATATTTTAAAAGAATATATGTACTTTGAGGCAAAAATTCCAATATTTGAATTAAACCAAAGGGATGGATTTTGGACCTGTAGACCTTAGGAAAAGCAGGTCTAGTTTTAGCAAAATCATTCCCTGAATAACCATGAAGTCTATAGATAAACAAACCGAAAACATTCACCATGCTTTGGAAACTTGCAATTTTGTGAAATGGACAAAAAAATGTAAAATTAAATATGAGAACCTAGATTCTGGGAAACAGAAAAAATGTTAAATTAACTATGAGAGCCTAGAGTCTTGGAAAAGTGCATCAAAGACGTATGAGCTAATGAGTAGAGGAGTAAAGGAAAGGTCAGCATAAATTCTGATAGGGAGACTCTGGGAAATTTCATGTAAAAAATGACATGTAAGTAGTGGTGCAAAGGCATCCCAGAGGATAGGAAATGCCCAAGTTATGGAGCTGTGGTAAGAGCATTGCAGGAATGATGAGCAGTGGCTTACACAGTTTGTTCCTCTCCTGCTTCCTCTATGCCTTGCCCATTTCTAGCCAGGTAGCCAGGACACTATTTCTCTAATATTTGCATGAATGTTGTACATTATTTCATTATGGTTATCATCACATGATTTTTCCCCTTTTATAAGTCTATCTTACATCTCTATGAGGGCAGGAACCAGGTCTTTTTCTTTTGTATATCCTAAACTGATAAGACAAACACTCAATAAATAAATAAATACATATTACAACAAGAGCTGGAGATTTAAGTTAATGTGAAAAATGGGTTGAGAACCCTAACTGGTTTTAAGTGGATAGAATGTCGGCCTACGGACTGAAGGGTCCCAGGTTTGATTTCGGTCAAGGGCATGTACCTTGGTTGCAGGCACATCCCCAGTAGGGGGTGTGCAGGAGGCAGCTGATCAATGTTTCTCTCTCATTGATGTTTCTAACTCTCTATCCCTCTCCCTTCCTCTCTGTAAAAAATCAATAAAATATATTTAAAACACCCCCCAAAAATGGGTTGAGAAATATAAAGAAAATTTGATGACATAAATCCAGAACCCTTTGAAACTAGTCTAAGATTGGCCTTATTTTAACAACAGAACAATATACTACTAATAGCTTGTGTTGATGTACCAGTACCTTTATATAAGTTATCTCATTAAATTCTCACAACCACTCTGTTACGTGGGCATTATTATCTTCATTTTGAAGGTTATGAAACCAAAGTTGGGAAAGTTAAACCAGTAACTTGTTCATTGTCATTGAGAATCTAGTATGTGACAGGTGTTATTCTAGATGCTACAGATAAAGTGGCCCCCAAGACAACCCACACTCACACTCACCAAGCTTATGTTCTAGTTAAATGAGATTGACTTTAAACACAACCACCAAAAAATAAGAAATAAAATTCACACATGATGATAAATGGCCTAAGGGAGAGTAAAACATGCTGATATCCTTGGAAGTTACTAGAGGTAATGCAAAAGAATCTACCTTACTCAACAGATTATGATATTCCCAATATAACACTCTGATCTTATGCTATTCAGGGAATGGAAATAATCAAACATGCATTTTAGAAGGATAGCTAGTAGTAATATGGAGAATTACTGGGCAACATTATCGAATAGGAAGATTAAATGATCATCCAAATGAGGCTTTGGAAGATAAATGAGGAGGACCAATAGTTTTAAGAGAGAAACCACTATGTTCTATAGATGGTAAAATTTTTTTTGACATAAAGATTATGGAGGAGCTCTAGCCGGTTTGGCTCAGTGGATAGAGCATCGGCCTGTGGACTGAAGGGTCCCGGGTTTGATTCTGGTCAAGGGCACATACCTCGGTTGCAGGCTCCTCCCTGGCCAGGGCCCATGCAGAAGGCAACCCATCAATGTGTTTCTCTCACACCTATACTTCTCTCTGTCTTTCCCTCTCTCTTCCACTCTCCCTAAAAATCTATGGAAAAATATCCTCGGGTGAGGATTAAAAAAACAAACAAACAGGGAGGAGAGTGGAGATAATGATGATGGTATTGACAATGACAGCAATAATGACTTGTCTTGTACATTTACTCAGTACATGTCCAAGGTTACACAGTTCTCTTTGATGGAAAGCTAATTTTTATTTATTTATTTTTTGATGGAAAGCATTTTATTTTTTCTTTATTGCTGAAAGTATTATATATGTCCCCCTTTTTGTGTGTTTTTTTCCATTGACCCCCTCCACATCACACCCGCCCCTCCCAAGCTAATTTTTAAATCAATATAAGAATGTTTTGCCAAGTGTGGGACTCTTGGCACAAGGTATCCAAGATGATTTGGGGTGGTATTTAAGATAATTTAAACTGCAGTGGAAAAGGAATTAAAGAATAAACTATCACATAGGAAAAATGCTATTTCCATTTTAAATCTCTTCCAATCCCTCTAATTATGTCAAGAAGAAATTCTCAATTTGAGCTATTTGAGCTATTTTGACTTAACACCTCTCTAACATTTGCTAATCTCCTTTTTTAAACAAAGAGTGAGCAAGCCTTATGTTCAGAGCCTTCAGAAGCCAGCAGTATCTAGCTGAAATATAAATTTTTTATTGTATTTATTTTTACAGTTACCCTCTATTTATGGTCAATAATACCAGTTTGCCACTTATAGTAGTGATATATT